GTGAAAAGTGGGTGGTACATTGTATAGTAACATTAAGTGCCTTAATGTGCACCTCTGTCTGGCTACTCCTTCGGGGATAAAAGGTGTGATGTTATGTAATGTTCTAAAATTATATTCTGCACTTTTACATGTTATTATTCTGTGATACAGATCGTTAGGCAATTTGGTAGCGGTCCAGAGCCCACGTGTGCCCAAGCTGGGAATGTTCGTGGGACCGCCCGAACTGCCCACTGGGTACAGAGCCAGAACGCAAGAGGATAAAGGTAATCAACTTTTACTGTCCACTATACACTAATAATAATTCACACTTATTTCAATTCACTTATGCCCGAATACTGAAACGTTACTCAATTTTAAGTCGCGCTTAAGTATATTTCTGTCACTACAAATTCTTTGTAAAATGACAGAGATGGCACGATATTTAAGCACGACTTAAAATTGAGTAACGTTTCAGTATTCCGGCATTAGTACACTAATTTCAATTGCGTATTTGATTAACATTGCTGACAAATAGTTGGTGTTAGATTTTATGTAAAAATCTATGCTCTATGCACGAATTTTATTTGTATAGCTGCGAGCGAGTCCAGTGAAGGCAGTTCGGACGGAGAGTCCCGGAGGCCCAGGCCTTTGCCACCCCCGCCTCACCACGAACCAACCCATAAGGTAAATTCAACATTTTTTTTTTTAATATGCAATCTTCAGAAACTATAATAGACATTCAGAAACAAAAAAAACATTTACTTTCTTTGAAAAAATAACCAAAATTTTAAACATTTTTTATAACATTTTCGGTGTTGTAGGTAATAAGTTTCAGTAATGTATTATTATTATTATTAATCGTAGATTTACACATTACTTTTGTCATAGACTTTACTGTATAGTCTTTACCTCTGCGACTGCCTCGTTGGCCGAGTGGTCGTAAGTGCGACTGCCGGGCAAGGGGTCTCGGGTTCGATTCCCGGGTCGGGAAAAGTATTACTGGGTTTTTAAATATTCTCAGTAGTAGCACGGAGTCTGGAATTGTGCCCGGTATATGGCAATATTCTCACCCCCTATTACATGGGACTCATAACATAATTAGTGAAAAGTGGGTGTTACATTGTACAGTGGTATAATGTGCACCTCTGCCTATCCCTTCGGGGATAAAAGGCGTGATGTTATGTCATGTCATGTTATGTCATGTCTTTACCTCTATGTTTTAAATAAAACTTTCTATTACAGAAAAGGTTAAAACTTACACTAAATAAGCTATAAACTAAAGGATTTTTCGTCATATCTCCTTTTTGAACAGATACTGTCAGGGGAATATCCATCATCAGCTCAGGACAACTCGTCATCAAGCGCGGCAGACACGCGGCGACGCCATCCCTTTAGCAAGCATGATCGTAGGCATAAGGTAACTATCACTTTTACCATATTTCTTATAGTAGAAAAGTAGTAAGAAAGGATTTCATGTGATTTCGTATGCAAAATTCACCATCCCTAATCCCCTAAAGGGGAGGCCTTTGCCTAGCAGTCAACGTTCCTCGGCTTTTCACAATGATAAATCCCCAATCCCACCCATCCTTAAACACTCCAGAAGGCCGATAACGCACTTATAAGATCTCGGTTTTGCGGGTGTCCAAGTGCAGCGCCGATTGCTTAACATCAGGTGATCCGTCTGCGCCCTTTGTCGCTCTGTCGTCTGGTTCTGGTCGGGCGGCGAGCTACCCATACTCGCCGCCCGAGCTTAAGGTGGCTGAAAATCGTCCCGCGATCCCCGACGCCCGGAGTGTCTCTCACGACGGCTGAGGCGTGAGGAGGTTCGTTCCCTCACGCGCCCCGCACCTCCTTAGCTAATATGACTGCTTCGCAGAAGGAGGAGACGGCATCCCAGTCCTTCTCACTCCGTACCATGTTCTGAAACAAAGCCGGACGTGACACGTCGCCGTCGCCAATCATATGCGCACCTTATCATTCTCTCACTCTTTACTTTCTTCTTTTAAAAGTAGTTGGATTATAACTGTAATTATGTTGTATGTTTGTAGGAATTCTCAAAGAGCAAAGACTCAAAGAAGAATGCGGCTCAGATGAACAACACACAGAATCCACAGAACTGGGGTCCACAGGTGAGACATATAAATGGGTGTTACTTTGTATAGTGGCATTAAGTGCTGTAATGTGCACCTCTGCCTCCCCTTCGGGGACAAAAAGCGTGATGTTATGTAATGAATGTCCACGCGTTGGTCGCAGGGCGCGCACGGCATCCCCCTGTTCGTGGAGAAGTGCGTGGAGTTCATCGAGCGCGAGGGGCTCGGCTCCGAGGGACTCTACAGGGTGCCCGGCAACCGGGCTCACGTCGACATGCTCTTCACCAAGTTTTATGAAGGTTTGTACACATTACTGGACTATTATCATCATACAGACGTTGCCCAATGCTGCAAAGAATCTCTTAATTTATTCCACATTACTGACAACGATTAGTAAAGACCTAAGGGAAATTATTTTACAGTGGAAATTGCCGGAAACATATCAACAGCCTATAAGTGACCGAAGGCTTCTTACACGGAGAAAATTTGAGCATTAATTACCACGCTTGCTCAGTGCGGGTTGGAATGTCGGAATACAGCATTGTGATTTGGCCCTTTTGAGTTTTTTTACATTAAATATTCCAAAATTCGGATATCTATAGACGTCTTTATATGTCATGGAAATTAATAGCTCAGCTGTTTGCGTGTGTTTTGTTGTTGTTAAGGATTTATATTAATATTAGCGGACCCGACTGACTTTTTCCTGCATATTATTACTATATTTAAATAATCTAAACCTCACGGGTAACCGGGGCTCCGGCTCGACGTGCAGGAGAAGGAACGGGGTGGTTTTTAGTCAGTAAGAGTCTGACACTCCCTCCTGCCTCACCCAGGCGGAAGCAGTCATTCGATGATTTTCCCCCCTTAAAAAAAAAGACATCGACTGCAGCGCCATCTGCCGGGCTGATTTGTGAATCTAAACTATCCAGGGTGCCACTCAAACGCATACAGAAAAAAACATTTAAATCCGTCTAGCGGTTTAGGAGGAATTCAATGACGGGCGTGCGTATTTATATCAGGATCAACTAGTTTGTCCTAGCTTAAACTGGTTTATCCTATCGGGCTGAGGACAAATTAGTTTGAACTAGGCTATACTAGTTAATCCTAACGCGTATAGGAATAATTAGTTTAGCCTAGGCAAAACTAGTTTGTCCTGAAATCGGGTTTGGCCGGTAACATATATATTATATTAATATAATAAAAAAATTACATTACATATACCTTCCAGTCTTGGGGATTTTTAGAATGAAAGTGGGTTGATATTATAATATCGATTTAAATATATCTGATGAAGGATTTTAGGTGTTAATGTTTACTTAATTATTTTTATTTTCTTCAGATCCTAAAATAGATTTAGACTCACTGGACATACCTGTGAACGCGGTGGCGACTGCACTGAAAGATTTCTTCTCGAAGAGATTGCCGCCGCTACTCGACGAGCCTAGCATGGCTCAGCTTGAAGATATCGCCAGTAAGTTGGATTTAAGATGCTAATGCTTTTGTTATAAGGTTGTGTTTCATTTATGTGTTTATCGGATTATGAACCGTTTAAAAAAAAATACATTTACTTTGATTATTTTTGTATACACTCATACTAGTCTAGATTATTATCAAGTAACTTGCATATTTTGCGCAAAGTCAGTCAACAATGAGCTAATTTTATACGTTTTGCCATTTTTGGATAACTTTGCGCAACTAAAGCGCTTACTTTGCGCAACCAACGCGTGAATGCTGCACCACAAAGTTTTTAAAACTATAATGGCAGTAGTAGTGTTAGATACTAGAGCTGATAGTGGAATGCTTGTGTCCAGCGATGCGCGGCTGCTTCGCGGGCGGCGTGGAGCTCAAGGACCGGTCGTGGCGGCTGCTGGCGCTGCGCTCGCTGCTGCAGGCCGCGCTCACGCCGCTGGCGCGCGCCACGCTCGACTACCTGCTGCACCACTTCGCCAGGTACCACTGGGGTGTTGGGGGACTCTCAGCTAACTAAGGACCGGTCGTGGCGGCTGCTGGCGCTGAAGAGTTTGGTGGTATCAAAATTAAACTACGCAGATACTGTTATGGGCCCCAGGATCTTGGCACGCACCGAGAGATTAATACAGAGAGTACAGAATACCTGCGCACGATTTTGCTACAATGTTCCACCAAGGAGTCACATTACGCCTTTCTTAAACAAACATATTGTTTTAAAAATGAAATCTCGTCGTAAACTCCACTTAGCCTGTCTTATGTTCGACGTGTTAAAGCACAAGTGTCCTCCATACCTGTACTCTAGGCTTGCATGGGTTGGCAGTCGCCGGGAGCGTGAGGGTAGGCGGTGTGCTCAGCAGGTCGCCACTCCTCAACATAAAACTGCAGCTTTTCGCGGCAGCTTCCGCTATGCGGCCTCCAAATATTGGAATAATATTCCACCACCAATAAGAGATATGAAAACCAAAAATACGTTTAGATTAAAATTAAAAACTTTTATTTTGACATCCCAAATTAAATTTAACGACATAAATATGGACAAATCCTTTATCTGACTTCAGTTTAATATTCCAATACAGCCAATTAATACTTACTTTTATATGCCAATTTGCAAGTCTGGACGCTTTGTGTGGGTGCTCGACTCGATGTGTTGGACTTTGCCTATTATTTTAATATTTGGTTTTTTAATTGCAATCACTCCACCACTCGTAGACTATGCTGCCGTTGGTTATTGTGTCCTGTGGCCAGGGGAAGGCAACTGTTTCTTTGTTCTGTTTCAGCTCAGCACAGCTGTCACTAAACTAATAACTACCTGGCTGACAGCCAAAAATGTTTAATAACGCTCAGTTTTTTAATTAAATTTATATTACACTCTTATAATTAAATTTATTATATTATTATTATTCACATATTAGCCACACTATTTTGGATCACAATTTTTCACACACAAACACGTATTCCGCAGAATTATTGTTTTCATTGTATGCCTATATTTCATTTATTTTTTTCTTATTGAGCGGCTTACCGCCGTCCGTGAGTCACTGCAGGATGCCATCTGAAAATCAGCGTTGGGCATGTACGCTCAACTTAATGCTGAGATGGAGGCCCTTTGGGAAGGGCTGGAGGCCCTTTGGGAAGGGCACGCGCCGTTAAATGTTATTCATTTATATCTTGTTTTTATTAATTTTTATTTACTGTGTGTCTCTTTTTGCGGAGTCTTCGCGTCTTGATGCTGATGGCGCTTCACCACCTTCTATACACCAAGTATGCGAGACTAACATGTCGGACATTCGCATTCGACAGAAGGAGGTCTGCAGAACGTTGCGCAACCTGGACGTGAACAAAGCCAGTGGTCCTGATGGAATCCCGGCCGTAGTACTGAAAACTTGTGCACCTGAGTTAGCTCCAATCCTGACACGTCTGTTTCGCCTATCTTTGGAGACTGGTCAAGTGCCGAAAGCATGGAAGCTGGCCAACGTGCAACCTGTGCCTAAAAAAGGTAGTCGTGCCGACCCTAATAACTATAGACCTATCTCGGTCACGTCCATACTCTGTAAGAGTATGGAACGTGTACTGAATAACAGGCTCCTGGCATACCTTGAAGGTAACGATCTCCTTAGTGATCAGCAATACGGATTTCGCCGAAACCGATCTACTGGGGACCTTCTTGCATATGCCACCCACATCTGGAGCGAGGCCATCGAGAAACACGGGGAAGCGTTAGCCGTATCGCTCGATGTCTCGAAGGCCTTCGACAGGGTCTGGCACGATAGTCTTGTTGGCAAGCTTCCCGCATATGGACTCCCCACTGGTTTGTGCAGATGGATAACAGACTTCCTGAGGGATCGATCCATCCGTGTGGTCATTGACGGCTGCTCATCCAATCCACTTGGTATTAATGCCGGGGTTCCTCAGGGGTCAGTACTCTCAGCAACACTTTTTCTGTTGCACATTAATGACCTGCTCCAGCCCGGTATCTTTGGGTACGCAGATGACAGCACCGTTGTTGAGAGGTATGTGTCCGATGCGCGAACCAGTGCAACTCAAATCCAGTCTCTGAGAGAATCTATGGTAAATCGTCTGAACCTGTCCTTGCAGGCGGTCTCCGATTGGGGTGACGCCAATCTGGTCAGGTTCAATGCCAGCAAAACCCAGGCGTGTCTGTTTTCCGCTAAACGGAGTCGGTTCCCACTGACTCCTACTTTCCGGGGTGTGTCCGTTCCGATGGGTGACCGTCTCGAGCTTCTCGGCGTAACTCTGAAGCCCACTCTCAATTTTGGCTCGTATATCGAGACAAAGGCGCAACTGGCTGGTAGAAAGTTGAGTGTCCTGTCGAAGGTGAGACGGTACTTCACGCCGGAGCAGTTGCTCACTCTTTACCAAACACAAGTTCGGTCTTGTATGGAGTACTGCTCCCATCTTTGGGATGGCTCGGCGAAATACCAGTTGGAAGCCCTCGAATCCATCGAGAGGCGTGCCAAGAAGCTCATCAATAACGATTCGCTTGTGGAGGCTCGGCTACAAAGCCTCGAACACAGGCGCAAAATCGCAAGCCTTTCGGTCTTCTATCGGATACATTTCGGTGAGTGTGCGTGGGAATTGCACAAACTTATTCCCCCTAGTCCATTTCACCACCGTACCACCAGGCGAACGGCGGGACGCCACCCTTATATGGTGGACATTCCACCCATTCGAACGAAGCGTTTCGCGTCAAGCTTCCTCATGCGAACCGCTAAGGAATGGAATTCTTTGCCAGAGGCTGTGTTTCCCGCCAAATATGACTTGGGTGTCTTCAAGTCCCGAGTGAACAGGTTGCTCATAGGTAGGCGTGCTCCATCGTCGGCCACATCATCGCTTACCATCAGGCGAGATGGTGGTCAAACGTCGACCTATAAAGTATAAAAAAAAAAAAAAAAAAGTTATTATTATTATTACTATATTGTCACTGTGTTGTTATACTTTGTCGTTTCTTTATTTTTTTTTCTATATCTATATAAATAAGTGTATTTATTTGTTCTTTTCTTTTTTAATTCTGTATTTTTATATCTGTGTGCGTGCCCACTGTCGAATAAATATTTTTCTTTCTTACTTTCTTAACTAAACAAAAAGTGACGAATTGTGAATGACAGAATGTGGTGGACAGAGTACTCTCCATGAAATAAATACATGTTATTATATAATAAAATATATTATTAATAAAAAAAAACAAAAGAATCAAAGTACAAATAACAACAATAAAAACATCTGAACACTGCACAGACAAATTACTCAATTTATTTATCTTTATATCACAAAGGTATCTTATAATCTAAGCCCCACAAAACCGTTGCAATGGTTTGACTGTGGGGTCAACGAGTCTCTAGGCATTACAATTAAATGTACTTACAGATTTTTTAAAAACCTACTAATACTTGGTCCTATCCGGAATTCGAATCTGAGGCCCCTTGCCCGGCAGTCAGTGTACAATGGTACAGTAGTATTAAGTGCTGTAATGCCTCAGCCTACACCTTCGGGGATAAAAGGCCTGATGTTATGTTATTAAGCGAATCTCTACATTAAAATCCTCTTCCTTTTTTGAGGTCGGGATATATACTAAAACTCCCATCTCATCCACAGGGTCGCAGACAACTCCAAGCTAAATTCAATGGATAGTAAGAACTTGGCGATCTGCTGGTGGCCTACCCTTCTTCCAGTGCAGTTCTCAGACATGGGTCGATTCGAGATGACCAGGCCGTACCTTGAGGATATAGTGCAGACCATGATTGACCAACACCCCTTTCTGTTCCGGGGGCAAGAAGCTTTTGTTATGGTGTGAGGACAGTGTGTAAGTATTTTACAAAGTCAAACCATTTCAATTCCACGGATCCCGGCCCAATAGAGCTGATACCGATACGGAGTCGCGGAGAACCTAACGGGTTACCGGGGCTCCGGCTCGAAGAGCAGGAGTAAGAATGGGGTGGTTTTTAGCCAGTTAGAGTCTAACACTCCCTCCCGCCTCACCTAGGCGGGAGAAGTCATACGACGATTTTCCCTCCTTAAATAAAAAATTATGAAGAAGTCCCTCTGTAACTCGAAACTAGTAGTTTTTCTCAGTATATTCACATGAGTAACCCGTTATTTTTAGTCAATGTCGTGAGTAAACCGATATTTTGAACTAGGTTCTGCTGTTTGCCCGCGTACCCGTAGCATAAAAAGTCGCCTACGTGTTATTCCATACAAGTGGTAGATTCCTGTGTGCTTACTCTTGAAACCTATCTCAATGTCAATGCAATTTCAATCCAATAAAATCTCATTAATTATTCAATGTCAAAACGATATCGACACGACCCTATCGTAGCTGTTAAAATAGCATTTAGAGTACGGAATATACAGTCAAATTCAATACCATTTAGTTCATTCAATATCCACGGAATTCGGATGCAACGGGCACTAGTGTTGTAACTCAAGAGTACGAAATTTCACAATACCAATGTCGTGTCGATCGATCGGAATTGGATTCAAGAGTAAGCTCACTGTTCCGAATTTAATCCTGATCTCTTCAGTCGTTCGGACGTCATTGAGTTACAGACATACACACGAATACACAAACTCAGAACTTTCGCATTTGTATTGTTAGTAAGATGAATTAATTTACTTTTCCAGGAACCCACAATGCAGGTTGCATTCGTGATGGACGACGTTTGACGTCGTCGCGCTTTGGTTTCGTGACCGGCGCCATATTGCCCAACGATGGGCCCCCGCTTACCATACGATATATAGCGCGTAAGTTATGGCTACTATGTGTACTGTACGACGTGGACGTGAGACGTGACGTCATTTGACATCAAACAAATGACGTCACAATTCACACACACCCTATACATACGATATTGCGATTATTAAAATTCAACCTTAAGTAATCGCAATGACGTCTCTTTATTGGCAAGCTATTGTTGTTCTAAAAGTAGGTTTTTACTATATATAAATTATCATGTCTGTCGGTCGGTATTCAGTATAATTAGACGGATAATGTTTATTTTTCCATGCGAATTTTCATATCAGTGACGCTTAGTGATCGCGTATCGACGTTGCTTGCATTATATATATAATTTCCACCCATTATTTTACGTAATACACAAATAATTATAGAAGTTATCCAATTATAAACGCATTTTTATAGTTCTAAGATGAAATGCACAAAAAAGTATTTAAACGAAAATGTTTTTTAATATAAGGTAACACTGGTATGGTATTTAAACAATTTATATTTGTAATCTATTAATGGCAACACCATATATTAAGCACATTCCGTTCAAAAATAATAAGTGTTAATAAATTATTGGAATAATTGATAATGATAGTTATTCTAACCTGGTTTGGATAAGTCGTATAAAGAAATGCTTGCGGGCGCTTGTTTTTTTAAATATTTTTATATGGCAACATTTTTGTGGTGACGTCACGTGTCTCTTGTGTATTGGCTGGTTTTAGCCGACTTAAAAAGTAGGAGGTATTGTATTTAAATATTCCCAATCCCCGATTAGGCAATTGTTTTCTTTATATTACTGCAGCTAAAATAAAAAACCAAGAGGCACTTATAGTTTTAATAATAACAACCAAATTATTTACTTTTTTATTTATAAAAAAAGAAAACGCTTACCTAATTTGTTTTATTAATACTATTTCTTTTCCATGATAATTGTATTGTGATCTTGCCATAATTATACGCTAAAATTTTTAACAGTATGGAAAATATTGTAATCACAAAAATATAAAGTTGGTACAATTATCGATGATGAGTTGTTGTAATAATATGTCTTATAATGTGAATCATACAGTTCAAATTTGAATATCACATTTTATTTCAAAACTATTGTAACATAAATATAATAATCGAGTTAATTTGGATTGTTCAACGTAATTTGTATCAACTTTTCAAGCAATTTCGAACCTAAAGGCAGCTTCTTTCTTAATTTTCGAGACTGATACCAGTTAGTTCCTTGACACAGAATCCAAAATGCGCACTTAATTTTTAAAATATTAATTAAATTTAAAATGTTTGTTAGCGTGTCGTTTTTTAAATGATTGATTTAAATACCAATGTTTATAATGAGTCGTTTTTATCAAGTCCGCGTCGATACGATTTCGATGTTTATATATTTTTAGCTGATACGGCAAACTTCGTACATACATACATAACTTCACGCCTGTCTCCCATGGGGGTAGGCAGAGAATAGGGAAATTATTACAATTCCTACATACCTCTTTCGCTTCATCAACAGTCATCAATCTTTTCATGCATGCTCGTCGGTTAAGGGTACTTTTAATTTGGCCCTTCTTTAATATATCGCCAATCTGGTCACTATTTGTCCGTCTAGGGCGCCCTCTACCGACGGCCCCATTCATATCCGCTCTGTATTCTTCTTTCGTTACTCTACTTTCATCCATCCTTTCTACATGTCCAAACCAGCGTAATTCCCTTTTCAATCCTTGTCACTACATCATCTTTCTTTGGCAAACTTCGTATCGCCTAAGAAAATGTTCTCATCTTATAAATATTCCCTGGACTTCCACGAATATTTCAAGACCAAAATTGGCTAGTTTCCTAGGTAAAGATAAATGGTTTCAACTTTTTAAGTAAGATCGTTTTGGAGACTCGTTTGCCAAAGAAGAGAAAAAAAGTATAATTTTTGACATTTCAATAAAAGTATTGAATTTGACTACCTGTCAACTACCTTATTAGCCAAATAGGTTCAGCCACTCGAGTTTTACCGAGACTAACGAATGGAAATTTAGTTTTATTTATAAAGATAATTATATGATTAAAGTGAACATTGACTATTATGAAGGCATATTAAATCGAAACTGAGGCTTTATACTCATTATTTCCGCACAAACAAAACGTAAGTACATTCACACCTGAATAAAAGCTGCTGCCTAAATCCACCACTTGAGTAACATACACTGGTCCCATAGACATAATTAAACAGAGAATAATCACCACCCACTAAGATCCTTAATTAACTTCTTTAGGTTTCATCAAATCGATACATCTGCTACTAAACTACTCTCTCATTATAGACATTGGTATTTAATTCGAATAAAAAAAAAACGTATAGCTGATGGCCTATTTTATATGTTAAGTGTTAGACTGACGTAGTGTAAACGTGTATCTCATTATTTTAACACTTTTAAAAATATCTATGTAGTCCGTAAAATCCTTGGCTTATTCCATATATTAGCCAACAATGGAAGCTACCGGTTTTTACTCACTAGATGGCGCTAAACTAAAATTAACAGCTTTCCAATCACTGTAGCTGTCAAAAATGGAACGAGCAATGGTGTGACACTAGCTGATGCCTTATTGGACGATCAGACAACAAGAGCACACTACCGACACCTAGTGACCAAGAAATCGTTAACTCCCATTCAGTACGGACTTTTATATCTTCCATATTTCCAAACTAATCTTATGAAATTAATTATAATTTCATTTGTGTCGTAATGAATGTATGAGTCAGTAGTTAAAAGTCGAAAGTCGACATTTTCGAGTTGCGTAGTAGGAAGTTTTATTCTACGTATCGATTCTAGGGGTATTTTTCAAAGGTTGGACTGTTGATGCGATTTTGTATGCTGAATTGTTGAAGAGGTCTTGAAAATACCCTGTTTTGAAAGGATACGGAATCTTTACGAGTGAAACTCGGTACTTTCGAATGTATATTTATCAGTTTCGTTCTTATTAATACGACGGTTAGTTTTTATAATGTTCTTATGCCATTAGTCAGTAAGGATGTATGTGCACTTTAAATGTTTTCAATTTGTTTATTCACAAAACTTATTTTGTATGTAACTCATATATCATAATGCTATTGTAACGTGAATCGCTTAAGTATTTTTCAGTGTTTCAAGTACATTGTTGTATTAGTAATGTTTTTTTTTAATGAATAGAGTGAATGTAATACTTTTTGTCTAGATAATTGGCATTTGAACACGAACTAAACAATGTAAAGCCAAATCTTTCCAGTAGTGTATTTTTGTGGTGATGCCACGAATCGATAAAAGATGGCGTGTTTCTATAAAATTTGAATGCCAATCAACTGTCAAAATGAGTCTTCTACCTTATTTCGCATCTAAGTCTTCGACTATTATGAACTCTGTTACGTATGTCTTAAGGTACATATTACTCGATTCCATTACGTTGATTTGCAAGAGCAATTTCGGATTTGTATTAAGCATTGCGAGTAAAATATAACGATGTAACTATTTAATAAGTATATTTAATATATTAGGTGTCTTCGTTAAGCATAGTTAAGAATGTACGTAAGTTTTTAACGATATGTCATTATATGACTGTCTCACTCGCACGTACGCGAGGGTTGCGCGGCCGCGACCGTGCGAGGGAGACAGGAATCATGTCCATTAGGGGAATGATGTGAGGGAATTTTTTATATTTTACTATGAATCGAAAAAGACATAGAGCCTACCTGTGTTTAAATATTATTTTTCTAGAATTTTTCGCTTCCCCTGTAGATCTCACTGGCGGTGTTACACCCTATATATTTTAAAAAGTTATTTTTTAATGTAAAATTTCCCCTAATGTTATTTCGAAAAAAAAAATGCAATTTCTATATAAATATTCGATGTAAATATTGTACATTCGTTCATTTTATTATTATTATTTTTTGCTTAATTTATTTATTGAGATATTTTTTTTATCAAAGAGTTTTATAGCCATATATTTGTTACTCCATGCAATATTATGAGTGTTTTTCTTTAAGTTGTAACTTTTATTTTTTTAATTTTACCCTTTGATTTTGTGCACAATTTTTTTTTTTTTTTAATGAAATTTTCTTGAACGTGCCATTTTATGTTGAAAGTGCGGTGATTTCGGAGATTCCTAAAACTTGTTTTGGTAGAAAATACTTTTTGTTTATTTCCTGTAGGTTCTTGAATGTTCTACAGTAGAAATTCAATGTACGCTTGGCTATGTGGCCCGTTGTCGCCTGTCCGGCCCTCGGTCGGATACTGCGTGAAGAATGCTTGTATAGGTTAAATGATTTAAGATTGTATCGAATATCTTTACTCACAATTTGAGTAGGGATACAGTGAGGTGCGTTCTGTCATTGTTATTATTATTAAACAGTATTATGGTGCATTTAAAATTGAATTTTCGGTGACTGCGTTTAGGGTTTAAGTTAGACATTTGGCTATCATCATTTATCATTGTCGTCTCATTGACTGGATGTAAGATTCTCCAATAGTACGTCACTGAACTAGGTCGTCAGAGGGCTTAGTACGAATTTCAAAGTTGAAGTTAAAATCAAAATCATGTATTTTAATTAGACACGGAAGTGAAGCTGAACTCATTCCAAGGTGTAGATTCCTATGGAGAAGACCGAGCGGGAAACTCCATAGGTTACTTTTTTTCAATTAGATTCAAAATACAATACTCTAGGTACATGGCTTTGTTGGTTCGATGTGAGAACAATGCAATTTGTTTTAACATGATTGACCCGACCCCGAACCAACCGGAATCAGAATCATTTATTTGTTAAACATAGGTAGTTTACATAATAAGATCTTACATATAAAGATGGTCCACTATGTTTTGCCGTAATAGATATACAAATTATATTATGTACCAATCAGGCTAAACACGGTAACATAAAGCAAATTCAAAGTACTAGGCCCTTTATATTTTGAATATGTCGAAGTATTTTGAGATCTTGCTACTATTAGACTTCTAAAGGTATTCAGTGAGAACCTAGGTGTGCTAATATTATTTCCTGGTCCAAAGTATTTTTATAATAACGTATTTATTCGCATTTATGCAGACATATGCGAGCGATAAATATTCGCGTTCAATTTCATATTGTATGCTGAGGGCTTAGTATGACATTGTTTTACGTTCAAAGAGATCGAACCGGTACAGCATTCGGCGCTCTGTGGGCTTACTCTTGAATCCAATTCCGATCGTTCGACATTGATATTGTACTATTGTGATATTTCACACTCTTGAGTTTTAACAGTAGTGCCCATTGCATCCGTATTGCGTGAGTATTAAATGTACTAAATGGTATTGAGTTTGGTTTTATATTCCGTACTCTGAATGCAATGGTTGTATAGTTTTGACATTGAATAATTATTGAGTTTTCATTGGATTGCAATTGCATTGACATTGGTTACAAGAGTAAGCACCCTGATAAGCCAGCTCTAATGATCGAACCTATCTGACCGTCGAACGCGGTCTCGTTTCGACCTGAATAAAGGTACAGACTCGTTCTGAGCCTAGTACCTTAATAAGCTAGTTGGGACTTAAATAAAAGTACCAATTGCTTGCCTAAAATCCAAGTATAGCTCTTTACATGTTTCTAGAGAGTAGTACATCTTTATTGTTGTTTCCTTACTAAACATAATACTAAATAAGAAGATTTAAATTAACAATAGGAGTCCCATATGACTCAAATTGAGAATTTTCCCAGTCCCATATACATTATTTAATTCCTAAAAATGTATTATTTTGTATTCTAGAATATTCTTTGTGAATGCAAGTGCTTGCAATACAGACGTACCTTACAATAATGATAGTAGAGTGATCAATGTTGTGATATATCAGTGATGATGGCATGATGCTGACCAGGCGCCCACGGGCCGCACGGCGTCCGTTTTGCTATGCGTCTCAATTACTGTAAAACGACTCAAAAGGAATGTGTCATATTTTATAATAAATAATTATCTATGTAATGAAGTTACGTGTTTTATTTATCTACTCTGCTTTACCTTTATGTACCAGATACCACCTGGCAGATGGTAGTCCTTGTTTCTGGTTAGTCGACCATGATTAGGCGATATTCGCTTGCACTCGGCGCGAGCGGCCGCAGGGGAAACGGTGGATATTTATTTATTTATTTTAATAGTTACACAAAACAGAAACGCAGCGCGATACACAACAGAGTAACAATACAAAACTGTAAATGGCAGACCATGCTTCCACAAGTATGTGCACACAACATGACATGCAACGACTAGTATTTATTTATTAACAATTATTTATAATGAATTATAATCCAGACAAAACGTACTACTGAGTGGAGCCCACTCAACGTCAGTAGACGTCGCGGCAGGCCCAAAAGGAGAAGGCGAGACGAATTAGACATCTATGACAAGGATTGGCCGCAAAAAGCTTTACATAGAGAGGCCTTTGCCCTGTAGTGGGACGAGCATGGCTAAAAATTAAATAAATAAATAATAATCCAGAACGAAATTAGAGATTGTAAATAAAGTAATGATAAAGAGAATTAAGAATGCAATTAAACAATAGATACATTATTCAATATTGTCCTCATCATCGGACCGACCGAATAACAATTTCTTAATAATATTTTTAAATTTGTGAAGCGAGGTATTGTGGATATCAGGCACGCCCATGTCACTCGAGAGTAGCTCGTTGTACTTGCGACACATCCTTTATCACAGGATTGTGTGACGATACATTGTTGTTGCACATTGACAATGAGAAAAACATCTCGCGTCTAACAGATCTGGTAGGGATCCTGAGGTGAACCTGCGATAATAAGGATAGCGACCTCGCTATCCGGGATTTTGTTTCAAAAGTGTACTACCGTAAACTTGGCTGTACTGTACGATACCTGGCAATAAATATGTATTGCACATCGTTGCAATGGTTCTGATAAGACAATGAGTCAATATTTTGTGTCCCTTCGTCCAGCATACTCACCATGGAATCCTGATATTTCATGAATGTCAAAAAACTGTTCTGAAATAGTGCTAAATAGTGCCCAAAGGAAAAAAATAGTGCTCTTGTACTTGCGAAGTTATAGCCATAGTTCGATGAGTATGCTGGACGAAGGTTTCGCCCAGCATACTCACCTCACCTCCGTCCGGAGAATCTGTATACGCTTCAAACATAATTCATACTTCAAAAAATAGTTCCCAAATAGTGCCAAACGGTGCCCAAAAAGAAAAAACAGTGCTCGAATAACTTCGGAGTTATAGGCTTCGTTCAGTGAGTATGCTGGGCGTAGGTTCTACGCCCAGCATACTCACCTCAGTGCGCGAATATCGAACGAGCTATAGGTACAATTTACGTCTCAAAAAATTGTGCTTGAAATAGTGCCCAATATCAGTCCAATTTTTGCTTGACTTTTGACCTAGAAAACTATTAAATTTGATTGTAAACTTCTGAAAGAAATAGTGCTAAATAGTGCCTATTTAGCACTATTTCAGAACAGTTTTTTGACATTCATGAAATATCAGGATTCCATGGTGAGTATGCTGGACGAAGGGACACAATATTTTTATCTAATGGCATTTCGGTTCACAAAAATAGAAGGTAAGTAATTGAAAATATCTAATGGAAAATTACGATTTAAATCTCAACGAATCGAACATTTCGCAAATTTTCACAGACCGAAGTACTTATGCAATATTTGCGTAATAAGAGCTGGACTACCTCTACCTATCCCTACAGGAATATTTTGTCTGAAAGCTGCATCGGCCGCATTATCGTGGAATAAACATTTAAATGTTATTCCAGACATAATTACCCCTGTTCCAAATTCATCCTAATCCATCCACACAAACTTTCGCATTTATAATATTATAGTAGCTATTTAAGATACATATTTTACACTTACCGGTTTAGAAGACCTCACACGTTGACTAGACCACCCAAGCTATTCTCTAAAAGGACACGCAAAGAAAAAACGATATCCTGCCGGATGAATAAAAATATAAATAAAACTATACATGTTTCATATAAAATTTGTATTACCATTCAACATACGTACATGCTTACGTCATAGCACTAAGATGAATCACAGTTTTACATTATGTACATACATGTGGAGTTCATTAACAATATAGGTACTACTTAATCATAATTAGGCTGACCCCACATTAGGCGTGCGCGGTCCTTGGGCGTGTGAGTGGCGCGCACTGCGCCTGCGTGTTGGTCGCGTTTTGTTGCTCTGCGGCGTGTGTGAAGCGGTCATACGCCGACTAACGCGAGCGCCTAATATCGGGACGGCCTTATAGGCACTAATTTATGCTATCATTATGGGGCTTCTAATAAATACAATTTATAATTATATTAAGTAACATTTATTTGTGTCGGTTGACGTTAAATTCTGCCACAAATATCTGTGACAGTGTTGGATGTTTACCATTTTGTTCTTGATTATATTTTTGTGTGGCTATCCACAGGACTGGGCTAAAAAAGGACCTCTGCCTATTCATCTGTTTGTATAACGATAAGTAAAGGTGTACGACTATTAACAAGGTTAGCAAAACCAAGGACATGAATCATAAAAAGAAATTAATCATCAATTTGGAAAGTAAGGAATAGATTCCAATCTTTAACCCCTTAGAGTTACCCCTATACGCAACCGGCTCCCCAGCATCCGCACCAAGGTATAGACCCATCATTCACAGGGGCTGACAGCTTCCTAGATTTGTGCGTACACGCAGATGTCAGGGAGTTAACCGAGGAACACACGCTGTTAGTTCTCTCATGCTCCGAATGCGATGTCGTCATCTCCTGAGGACAAAAAAAGAGTTACTAAAAATGTATCTCAATGTAGACCTGTTTACTATAAGCTGATGAGGTTCTAGAAGAGAATAGAACATGTCTGCTAATTTTAATTGCACCAGCTAGTCCATAAACAGATCTCATAGTTTCATAGAATAGATGTGAACTAAAATGTGTAGGTAAAACTTGACTGAATCAAAGAAGATATAATGATCATAATAAACCTTTATAGAAACCACCAGGTTTGTCTTTAAGACTTTTGAAATACCAGTTAAAAAGATGCGGTAACTAATGAAATCAAAAATGTCGTTCTTAAAATACATTTTACCTGATAACTATCCCGCTTGTATCGCGGGCCTGAACTTGAAGACGACAAGGTATTCCTCGGTCTATGTCTGACGCAGTGTTTATGCTTCCCCATATCCTGGACCTCTCCTTCAATTAGCCTCTCATTGTCACTCTCTACATTCCCTCCGTTCTTCGTAGCTCCATTCTTCAGATCCTTCTTCTTGTCCCTCCTTTTTCTTTCCCTCTTTTTGAAGGTCAAAGAGAACCTTTTACGTTTTTTCATTTTTGGTGAGTCAGGTCTTTGGGGAGCTGTTGATTTTTCTCTGTCAGATCTACTTGTGTCGTCATCTGGTGGTGGGACTTGAGATTCTGAATCGGTTTTCAGCGTAAGTTCTGTGCGAGTAGAAGAGTCAGGCTCACCAGATTTGTACGCTACTTCTTTCTCAAGATTAGCTAGCTCCATTCTCCGAAGTCGCTTTGGTAGTTTGTTCACTGTTGCGTATATTGGCTCCTCGTTTTCACCAACGGGAGCAGATCGAGATCGAGAGAAGAAGTCGAATTTCTTTGGCTTGACCGGTATTCTCCTTTCAACGAAAACTACCGTACTTGCTACTTCTGTAGTCGTAGTTTGTACTTCGTCACCAGATTTAGGACTGGGACTGCTTGGAATAGGTGTTGCTCTAGGATAGTCGTAAGTAAGTTCTATATTTTTCTCAGTAACATATTTCTTTGGCGGCTCCTGTTCATCGACAACTGGAACTCCTGAGATCTGCACGCTTGTGATCGGTAACCCTACCGGTTCCTTTTTCTGGCAACAACATTTCTGCGTTATCCGTCTCGTGTTGCACATGAACACCGAGTTCTGCTGGATGTACGTGGTCTGTATAGTGGGCGAGGCCTGGACTTCTCCTAGGAGGTCTTCGACGTTCCCTCCGGTATGGAATCGGGGAGGTTGGTAGGGGGCAACGACGAAACCTGGTGGCGGGGGGCCTGCGACGTGGTAGGGGGGAGAGGTAACGGATTGGAAGAACCTGGGTACCTCGGGCGGCGCGTCGTGCACCAGGACGTCGACCACTCGTTCGTGACCATTGTCCGCTATATTTGGCTGCGTTTTGTTCGTATTTTGCGTCATTTGTGCTGATTTCATTGTGTTCGTAATCTTGCGTGGCGCTTCTTGTTGGCATTCATCGCATGTGCATGGTGATTCAGCGCCGCTCTGGAAGGTTAACAGATAAATCATATAAGAATATTTCTAGTTTTAAATAGTAGTTTATATTTTCTGTAAAAACATTAACATGTTGTATGAAAACAATGAAATTTTAGCTCGACACGTTGAGAAAAACTGTTTAAAACTGTTACGGATTTGCGCCAAAACAAACACTGACTCTCCAGAGAGACGGGTTTGTTCGAGACCTAGTTTCCTAAACACTCAAGCTGCAGACATTTCTTTTAAAGTTTTATTGCCGTCAAAATGTGCTACAACCTATAAAAGAGATATCTCTTAGATAGAAAATATTTTTAGGAAACCTACTTTTATAATTCTTTCCAGACCACAATTTTATTTTTGCTTTATGACTAGTCTAGGAGTACCAAGTTTAAAAATCTAAAATTTTATTTAAGCAATTTAAAGAGATATTCTGTGTTTGTGTGTGTTGTTGTATTAATGACCACAATACACCTCCGCTAGGGTGTTCCATCAGCGTCATAAGGATTATGTCTAAGCTAAGGCAGATAACATATCAGTTTTAAACGAATGGGTTCAAGCTTTAGTCGAACCAATTACCATGGTCCATTAGCTAGTTGTGAGCTGCGCTGTGTTGCACAAAGAAAACTATGAATCATCTATTTTACACAATATTTATTTGACAGAAATTCCTCTATAATCTGTTCTTTAAATATGAGTTAAAATTTATTGAAAATATTAACATGGCTTCTTTATGGAGTAGACGAAAATGAGGATACAGATCACCCAATGAGGAGGCCCAATCCCACCCCCTAATCCACAATCCTCAACCCTTAATCTTATATCTTTTACTAATCTTATACTCTTATCTTATACTATATTATAGAGTTTGTTTGTTTGTTTGTTTAGACGCGCTAATCTCCGTAACTACATGTCTGATTTGAATAATTATTTTTGTGTTGGATAGCGCATTTATCGAGGATGGCTATAGGCTATAAAACATCATGCTACGACCAATAGGAGCTGAGCAGAGCGTGTGAAACCGCGTGGAAGTAGCTAGTCCTCAGATAAAAAGTGAAGAGTCGGGTGTGTGTAATAGGTATAATAAGTCATCCATTTTAAAGTATCATTTAAGCCCTCTCGAATCCTCGTCTGACCACTCCATAGGTACCTACCTATTATCGCAGTTATGGCATATCGTTCGAATAACGTTATCTACCTAAAAATGGATTAAAATACAGTAAATAACTGTGTAAACTATAAAAAACAGTTGGTTATATTTATAAATCAACCCTGAGACTGGTCATCAAGGTTTGTGGTCGCATCTGTTCAGAAATACTCATTCATGACCCGATTCCCATCACCCACCCAATCTGTCGCGGACTCGTAAACTTTGTTTATGAACGCTATTCATTTAAAAGTAATTTGATTTTTAGATATCAGACGCCAATTAGATATGTATTCTAGTATATTTATTTTATTATCTATCTCATAGATCTGGTGGTTATGAGGTGATTACCACCACCACAGTTTGTACGCCTCCGGGTATAGCATACTATTTTATTACCATTTATAACACCTATATCTGTATTTTTGTTTGAGGTTGGAAAATCATCGAATGACTGCTCCCGCCTGGGTGAGGCGGGAGGGAGTGTCAGACTCTTACTGACTAAAAACCACCCCGTTCCTTCTACTGCACGTCGAGCCGGAACCCCGGTAACCCGTTAGGTTTTCCGCGACACCTATATCTGTATTATACTGAGTTGGCGAGCCCTTTCGTCATGGACATGCTGCCACCCTGTCTCTTTTATTTTGCTTCTTTTTATATGTTTTTTTTTTGGCTTTATTGTTGTTTTTTTATTTTGTTATTTTATGTTTTTTATATTGTGTTCTCTTTATTGTTTGTTTTTCAATGTTTATGTTTTTTGTTAATTTTCGGTGGTCCATGTCTGGTGGCGAATAAATTATTTTTCTTTCTTTCTTTCTTTCACCTATGTTAACAAATAAAAGTGATTTGATTTGATTAGTTGCTAGTGTCGTATGCTTCTTAGGTCTTATTGGTAGCAACGTGATGTCCTAATAGCCTTCTTCGGTAAATGGGTTAGGTATCCAACACAAAAATGAATTATCATTTTGATTGATGTGTGTCTAATACTCTTTCACGAAAGTCAAACACAGAGCATTTATTTCAATTAATCCATAATTAAGTACTTTTGAAACGGCAAAATTGAATTGTCCGTCCGTCTAAAGTTAGGCAATTTTTTCATATTTGATGGGCCGATGCTTGACCACTACCTCGCCTGTGCCTTAAGCCAAATGCCACTTTAGCGCTTGTCTACAGAGAGAAAGTAGAAAACTAAATGTATGGGGATGACACTGACAAGTGTCAAAATTTACGTCAATTTCGTATAATTTGGTTTTCTATTCTACATGTAGACAAGTGCTAAATGGCATTTGGCTACAGCTGCTGGTGATGCGCTCTACGATAGAGGACGTCGTCCCATAAGCAACCTATTCACTCGGGTATTGAAGACACCCTGGTTATAATTATATATTAATTAACAATAAAATTTGGTACAGGGATAGATTAATAATAATGGTAATTTTTATCCCTGCTACACAGGCGAAGCCGCTGGCAAAAGCTGGTAACATCATAAAGATAACAATGGTAAGTACCTACCTTCGATCCGGAAATCAAAAACAAAAAATCAAGACGACTAAACAAACAGACCACACACGATTTTCATTTAAAAATCAATGCAAATGATTCTCGAACAAATCCTAATATGAATAATAATATCTTAACACGAGTTCTGAATATAATTAAGTATATGTATTCACCCGTGTAACAGCGTAGAAGTAACTATAGAGCTTATTATATAAGACAAGATATTCTAAAAACTGGACCTAACCTGGACCGTACTTTGAAGTACTTAAGTAGTTACTTATGCAGTGTTATTTCCTAAGGAGTAACTTAACGAGAGTGGTGAGAGTATTTCCTAAAACAATCCCGTAATTACGGTGCTTATTCAAAACATACATACAAAACAAATAAACAAAACATGACAAATAAAGTGTGGTTGAGCCATGCTTCGGCACGAATGGGCCGGCTCTAACGGAGTGATACCACGGCCTCACAGAAAACCAACGTGAAACGACGCTTGCGTCATGTTTCACCGTGTGAGTGAGATTACCGGAGGCCGTAGGGCCCCCCTCCCTAATCTCCGAATCCCAAAAGGCCGCCAAAGCACTTGTAACGTTTTTAATGTTTCGAGTGTCGATGGGCGGCATCGATTGCTTACCATCAGGTGATCCGTCAGCTCGTTTTCCGGCTTATCCCGTAAACAACTAAACAAACTAACAAAATGTATCTCTTCTCTATATAATATTAGCAGATATAGGTAGATGTAACGTTATTCGACTGATATGCCATTACTGAGATAGTACCTATGGAGTCTGGATGGCCAGACATTGATTCAAGAGGGCTATTCTTGTTTGAACATGCTTTAAAATTGATGACTATTGCTGTAATACATACGCCAGACTCTTTGACTAATGTAATCAGAGTGATTGGGGGAATTTGTTTTCTATGGAATGGAATGGAATAAATCCATAAGTAGGTACTATACATGGTACATATGTATCAGAGACATTGTAGAACATACTTTTAAAAAAAGAGTAACGAATGGAGTATCTTGCTCGTTCTTCTCCATTCGAATCTACATTTTGGAATGAGCACCTAGCTTCATTGACGGACTGACTGTCAGACTATTATTTATTTTGTATTAGTTGACTTTTCAAAAGTACCAAATTATGGTTTAATTGAAATAAATGCTTTGACTAAAAAAAAAACTTTGGTACAGCAGAACGCTTCCAAAAAACAAAATCAGGTGATGGTAAAAGCCGAGTTTTATTTTCAAAAAATGTAGAAATTAAATTTGACTTTTATGTAATAATAATTAGAATCAACTGTTCAAGGCTGATGGCGGAGGAATAATTCGAAAACAATAACGATTGAAATTGTAAAAATAGAAAAATTTTGCGTTTTTGGTAGCGTATCGTTTACAATATTATATCACTGCTTATAATTATAGTATAAAACAAAGTTCTTTCTGCTGTCTGCCCCTATGTATGCTTAATCTTTAAAACTATGAAACGGATTTCGATGGAGTTTTTTTAATAGATAGAGTGTTTGTGGTAGTGAAGACTGAAGGCTGACATTCAACTCTTCCTATCGATAAATCATTATCTTATTATTTTGACATGATAATAATGATTTTAGATATTAAACATTAAATACTGATACTTAACAAGAGTCCTTTAGAAACGAAAAAAAAAAAAAAGGAAACAGATATCTGGTTTTTTTAGGTTTTAAATTACAACTTGTCTTCAAAAAAAAAATAGATTGACAATTTTAAAATTGAAATCGAATTCAAAGTACATACGTAGGTTCTTTAAACATATACTTGTAAAGCTCAGAAGTACCAAGGAAAGAGAAACAACAAACGCTTTCGGAGACTTATCAGAGAAACACAATGTACCCAGTATTAAAAATAATCACAACACTAATGACCAAAGTCCGTTCAAGTTCAAACCATATATCACATTGTTTAGGCCCTAACTAAAACTATTCACCAAAAAAACGACAAAAAATATCTACTTAAATTACTATCACCCAATACTATTGCAATAACAATTAAAAAAGTAATAGGTAATATATACCTTCATCACACAAACTGTCACTCGCAAAAATCACGGGACGCCAAGCGGCGCACGCGCCGGTCCACACGCTACTGGGTTTATTTATAAAACAACATAACGTAGAAAATTTTCTTACACATGAAATTCTTGGCCGGCCTTGACTCATTTCCTATCTATAAAGTAAAAATATTTGTTCCGTACCACCATAGTGGTCCAGTCCACTATAAGTTGGCTGTTGAGCTTTAGATAAGGGGTATAATTTAAGTTTTATCGCTTTGAGAACATGTTTTTTTTTTTGAGGGGTGAAAATCATCCAATGACTTCTTCCGCGCAGGTCAGGACGAAAGGGAGTGTCAGACTCTTACTGACTAAAAACCACCCCATTCCTACTCCTGCACTTCGAGCCGGAGCCCCGTCAACCCGTTAAGTCTTCCGCGGCTCCGTTTGAGAACATGGTTGGCGCAGTAGCTAGGCAACAGGCTGGGTTCGATTCCTACACGGAACAACTCTTTGTGTTATCCTCAAATGGTTATTTCGGATCTGAGTGTGATGTTTGTATATGGACCTATAACACGGGCCCGGACTGCGGACAACCTAAGGGTTTTTTTATACTTAATAGGTTTGACGTTTGACCACCATCTCGCCTGGTGGTAATCGATGATGTTGGTTACCTTTCCAGTTCCAGTTCAAGCAGAAGTAGGAATGAGGTGTTTTTAGTCCGTAAGAGTCTGACACTCTCGCCTCACCTAAGGCAGGAGAAGTCATTGGATGATTTTCCAGCAGTGTCAGACATGTGACGTGTGTAGTAAGAAATATAGAATGAAAGAAAACGTATAGAAAATAAACAGCAATTGCAAAAGCGGCCTATAGAGCTCTCCAGACACAAATATGGTATGTCGTCGGCGGTATTTCCGGACCGATACGACCTTTAAACCTTTAAGAAAAGAGCGTATTTTTCTTAAAAGGCCGACAACGCACCTGTGATTTCTCTGGTGTTGCGGGTGTACATGGGTGGCGCTGATCGCTTACCATCAGGTGACCCGTCTGCTCGTTTGCCTCCTATTCTATAATACATCACACTTTAATATCCATCAGGCCTGTTGCAACGTATGTATGTTTTACTTATTATAACATGTGTTTAGTAAGGATACCTATAGATTTATTAATATTCTCTTCCTGGTACCTACAAATATCCATATGGCTAAAATCATGACTAATTAGCCTAAGAATGCATATGCATATGGTTTCAGGGAACGATTTGTCAGACGTCTATTTTAGTCCCGTCTTATAGCCGTCAAGCTGTAACTGCTCACGGAAACTGATCAATAGCCTAGCCTAAAAGTCTACGTACGCGTCAAACTATTTGATGGTTTCCTTGCAAAATTGTGAAGTTTAGTGAAATACGGTACAATGTTTTTTAATGGGTTATAATATTGATAGGTGTACTCTTCTAGTGTTTGTTGCAATAGCCGACTTAGGATTAAGAACTAAGACCGGACCGTGAGTGATGCTGCCAGAGGGGTAATGAAATCACGAATGGGCCGGCTCGACCGGATCACCGGAGTGATATCACGGGCTCATAGAAAACTGACGTGAAGCAATGGCGTGGGTCGTGTTTCGTCATGTGAGTGAGGTTACCGGAGGTCTTATTACCCGCTAGTCAGCGTGTCCATGGGCGGCGCCGATGGCTTCCTATCCGACGACTTTGTACGAGTTTGTTATACGTACGAGATCGAAAAGACACCGCGTTAGGCGCTATGATTGGTTGGTTCAAACGGGACGGCCAATCAGAGAACTGAACGCGGTCTCGTCACAGATTCACAGGTGCGATGCCGGAAACACCGCACTCTGTCTAATAAAGCCTTATTTAGAAGAAAGGTGATTAAAGGTTCATGTTAACGGTATTAACTCACAGGGCTCTGGAATGAATATGGGCGTTCCCCAAGGTTCAATATTGGGTCTCTTTCTCTTTTTAGTCTATACATATAAATGATTTGCCTTATCCGAGGGCCTTGTACGAGTTTGTTTTACGTTTAACGAGATCGAAACGAGACCGCGTTCAGTTCCCTGATTGGCCGTCTCGTTTGAACCAACCAATCACAACGTCAAACGCGGTCTCTTTTCGATCTCGTACGTAAAACAAATTCCTACTCAGCCCTCAGATAATTCTTCTGCCTGTTTGTCGCCAAATCGAACAGAACTACAAACAAACAAAACAAAAAACTAAGGACCATTACCTTTCTTCATGAGTACAGATACGTTTTTATATATGTGTATTTTATTTATTGTTAGTATTATGTATTAAGTATTTATATTATATTCCTTTATAATATAGTTACTATTTTGTTTTAGTTTTTTTTATACATATTTCTTATCGCTTTTTTTTCTCTTCTGTTACAGACTGTGTCTCATGTTTTAATTACATTTCCTCTCTCAGGTCTACTGGAAGAAATTCCTAAATTATTTTATATATGTGTTATCCTCTGTGCTGTTTGTGTGTACATAAATGATTAAATAAATAAAAAATATCGTTATTTTTTTACAACATACCTTATCTTGCTCCACTTCTTCTGGCACCACGCTCAGGTCGTGGAAGGCGACTGCTCTCCCAGACCCGTCCACGCTAATACAGTCTGGACACACGCTGCAAACTGACACGCTGTCCTGCCAACCGATAATGTGTTTTATTTACTCCACATTAAAGTCTACTCCACATTAAAGTCTACTCCACATTAAAAGACTACTTCACATTGAGTGGTCGCAAGTGCGACTGCCAGGAAAGGGGTCTCGGGTTCGATTCGTCAGGTGAAGTATTTCTGGGTTTTTAAAAAAAATCTCAGTAGTAGCACGGAGTCTGGAATTGTGCCCGGTATATGGCAATAGGCTCACCCCCTTTTACATGGGACTCATAACATAAAAAGTGAAAAGTGGGTGTTACATTGTATAGTGGCATTAAGTGCCGCAATGTGCATCTCTACCCCTACGAGGATAAAATGCGTGATGTTATATATTAAAAATCTTTCTGAATGCCGGGCAAGGGGTTCTGTTATGGTCGGTCAAAGCATGAGGCTAGAATATCGTTGGGTGTTTACGGAACAGAGAGGAAAGTTCCCTAAGATCGGAAAAGGAGGATCCTCCGACCAGGCGAGGTGATCGTGTCTGGCGGGCTTTATGCCCGACAGTTGTTCGTTGGGATTTTCTATCCGTGTTAAACCGAATGTAAACTTCGCATGTGCGATGTAGGATTATATGACGTCATCCGTTGGCATGTACCATGTGTCGCCACAGGTGTATGATAATACGCTCGTCGCTCACTCTTAATGAGGCCCATCTACCGCATTTATGCTTACTAGATGGTGCTAGTGTGACCCTCTCGTTTTTCGTCAAATAGGGAATTGGATACTTTACTTAATCAAAAATAAATGAATTCGACTCTTCAATACTAAATTTACATTAATAGTTTTTAACACCAACTTAATTTTAGTATGTTTCCAGCATTTTTATAAAAAACAAGTATTTTATTTGACGCTAAAAAAACGTGACATCAGTCACAATAGACAATCTCGTACAAAATTCATAGAAAGCTGTCGTTTTTGACAGTTCGAAAAAAGTATTGAATTTTACTGGTTGGCAACTACCCAAGTACCCAATTAGCTATTTGACTTGTCATACCATTAGACGTTCAATATTTGACAGCTGCATCGTTTGGACAAAAAAACTGTAGTCACCATTACACGATAACTACTTATACCATAACTGGTGAGAAAAGCGGGTGATACATGGTGGTGAACACAATCATACGATTTAGTCCTCCGTTCACCTTCGGTTGAGTAAATAATACAAATTGATATTAGTTATTCGATTTTTTAAATAGATTGCTCCGAAGTGAAAAGCGAGGGCGAGAGAGGTTTTGCTTAGCCTCTGCCTAACCCGTTAAGAAACGCGAAGTTATGATATACAGTCAGTACCTACAATTATCAGAACTTGGATTAGAAGAAATAACATTTCGTAATGAGAACTATTTGGATAGTTTGAGCCAATAGTTTAATTGTATCCATGGCTTTAAAAACGTCAATGTCATTAATCAATATTTAGGCCAAAGTATTATAAACGGAAATTTTTATAAAGTTATATTCTCAATCCTAATTCATTAAATTACAATAGAAACTTTACAATGAACTTTTTAGATTTCCCTGTTGAGGTCGGTGTAACAATATTCAACTATTTAGACACTAAGACTAAAATAAATGTGTACAACTGTTCGGATCAAATTAAAGAATACTTTGCATTGGGATGTTGTTTCTTGACTAACATAGTTCTATCACGAAGCACGCTAGCAACTATAAAGACACTGAATGAGAAACTCTTCCTAGACCTCGCAGAGTACATGAGGAACTTAAATTTAAGCGGAGTACAAGACCTTACAGTGCAGAACTTAAAGCCTCACATACACAGATTCGTTAACCTTAGGTCCCTGGACATAACTTTCACGAATATCTACTTATCAGACATAGATGAGGTATGCCCAACGAAGGTTAAAAATATTGGCATCAACTTCTTCAGATGTCCAAGCAGCTATATGAATGACAGCATCAGCATAAAATGTCGAAACACGTTCAAAGAGAGGCAATTTGAGGCCGTTCATTTAGTAGTCTTCGAATACATTGTTACAGCATGCCCTCTTCTTTTCCTAAAAGGACTACCTATGGTAAAAAAATTGAAAGTTACAATATCAGGATCTGGCAATTTGAGTGAATTCTACGTCGACGAAGGATACTTGTTGTCTAGTATCAATGATCCTTCTTATAAAATTGAGCCTAACTTCAATCAACTGACTTACCAGCTCAATGTCTTGGCTTCTCCACACAAATTATCGAAGCAACTAGAAGGTGTGTCAAGATTAATATTTAGTCACCTTGAATATATTTGCATAAGGCATTTAATGAAAATAGATATTTACGTATCACCTGTCTTAGCAAACTTATTTACGATTTGCTGTACCGGCATTGAATTGACAGTTAGTCCTGATTTACCGGCTAATTTTATGATGAGCGGTTATATGGTATTTAAAGCTTGGAATAAAGCAACGACGACTTTTGATGGGAAATTCTTTGATGATGTGCTTTTGGAATTAAAAGATTACTTCCCCACATACGTTTGCATGCACGACCAGACTAGAATGCAGATCACAAACGCACCCAGCGCTTGGTTTTGTATTGACTATTGCGTGAATTTTGAGAAAAAGATCAGGGATTTGCCAGAAAAAGTTACGTTAACGGATTTCTGCCGTCGTGACGGTGAGACAGTAAGATGTCGACTGCCAATTAGCTTATCATGGAAGTCTGAGACAACGCAGCACTTGACATTTTTGAGTATAAACAATATATTACTGAGGAGAGATTTCTTCGTTAACCTGTTTACTGCTTGTCCCAAATTGGTTACATTAGACGTGTATATCGAGAATGAGATGATACGTGAATATACAAAGTTTCTGTCGAGAGGGATTCATTTGGCGAAGTTAAAGAATTTCATGTTAATATCGGATGATATAGAGTACAACAAAGTTTTTGAGATTCTATGCAATTGTACAAGTTTGGAAAATGTTCATATTAGGGAGCGCGAGAGGGTGGCTGATAATGAAGATGTTGTAACAGATAACATAGTAGTTTTTATACAAAGATGCGTTAATTTATACAGTTTGTTTATTGAGGCTGAGATGACTGGAGAAGGTTTGACAATGTTAATGGCTCCTTTACGAGTGGAAGCCCAAACGTTGGGTAGAGATTATCTGTGTATAGAAGTGTGTGAATCATATAGTGGTTGGAATCCATTTGAAGACGTATTCAACCCAAGTCCTTTACAGATTACAAACTGATGATGTTTTATATGCTTTTATTGAAGTAAATAAATATACTGATATCATGTTACACGAGTTCCTTTTACTATAGATTTATGGCTAAGTTATCTTGTTTAATGAATCATTCTATCTTATTATTACAAAAAAACCGAATATGTAACTGCAGTGGATCTCTAGACAGTAAAATAAACAATCATTATAATTCTCTTTTATGATTGTTGATCTTATTATCCAATATTTCATAACATAACATAACATCACGCCTTTTATCCCCGAAGGGGTAGACAGAGGTGCACACAGAAGTTACACCCACTTTTCACTATTTATGTTATGAGTCCCATGTAATAGGGGGGGTGAGCCTATTGCCATATACCAGGCACAATTCCAGGCTCCGTGCTACTACTGAGATTTTTTTAAAAACCTAGTAATACTTTGCCCGATCCGGGAATCGAACCCGAGACCCCTTGCCTGGCAGTCGACCTACGACCATTCGGCCAAAGAGGCTGTCTTTCAAAGTAGGTAAGTTAAGTCTAAGTCTATTATAAGTCTAATTATAGTTTATGTAAGGGAAAGTACATAATAGTATGAAAAATATAACCCATTTTTCTCTAGTTATGAATAATGTGTGTTCTATAGTATAAAAATAACTGTAATACATTCCCTGATGAGAGAATTGAACTTGAGATTCCTTGATAGACAATGGCGCTTGTGACAAAAATTGAGTAACTTTTTAAAGTCGAAATAAACCGTGGTATATTTGTCTGTTATTATAACAGCTCTAACTACTCCCGAACGGTTTCAGCTCTGCTCGGCTTCTTTTGATTGTAGCGTGATGTTCTATAGCCTATAGGCTTCCTCAATAAATGGACTATGTAATACAATAATTATTCAATTCCGAGCAGTAGTTATGGAGATTAATGCGTTCAAAGATACAAACAAAGTCTTTAGCTTTATAGAATTCTTTTCTTCTTTATTCTTTTTTTGAACGTTGCCCCACACTAGGATTTCCTACTGTATCGTAAGTGCGTTTACCAACATACAATTTCACCAACACATCACACCCACACCCGGAACAACAATCTGTGGATCACTCAAAAAGTTGTTCCGCGCGGGAATCGAACCCGCGACACGTTGCGCGGCATCCGGTTGCCCAGCCGCCGCGCCAACCGTGCAGTCAGAATAAAAAGAAATTTGGAAAAATAAGATAAAGAAATATAAGATAATAATAATATATATAGATATTAGACAATAAAGCTGTTTACGTACGTCCGAGTGCTCCGGCGAAGACCTTCGGTCTCGTAGCATGCTGTCCAGGCGATCGTACTCATAGCGAAGAGCTGATATTTCCCGTTTTAGCTGTTCGTTCTCACGTTTCAGCTTTTTGATGTCCGACTGACCTGTAGGTAACATGTCATCATCATGATCATCATCATCAACTGCCCTGTGGAAGTCCACTGCGAATTTTGTATAAGAAAATGGTTGATGG